TTGGATAGGTAGGGTCAACACAGTAAAATGGCAATCTTGCCAAAAGCAGTCTACAGTTTCAATGCAATCCTCATTAAAATCCCAGCACAATTCTTCACAGATCATGAAAGAAAGAATAATCTACATTATATGGAAGAAAGAATCAGGATTCCCAAAACAACCTTATTCATCAAAGCAACATCCGGAGGCATCACCATCTCTGATTTCAAGCTCTATTATAGAGCTATGGTCCTGAAAATGGCTTGGTATTGACACAAAAATAGGCATGTAGATGAATGGAATCGAATTGCACACCCTGATATTAATCCATATGTGTATGAACATCTGGTCTCTGACAAAGAATCTAAAAAAGTATAGTGGAAAAAAGAAAGCATGTTCAACAAATGGTGCTGGCACAACTGGATTATGGCATGTAGCAAAACGCAGAGAGATACATGTCTATCGCCATGCAGAAAACTTAAGTCCTAATGAATCAAAGAATTCAACATACATCCAGCCACATTGAATCTCTTAGAAGAGAAAGTTGGAGGTACCCTTGAATGAATTGGTACATGAGACAGCTTCCTGAATATAACACTAGTAGCACAGACACTGAGGTCAACAATTAATACATGGGACCTCTTGAAATTGAGAAGCTTCTGTAAGGCAAAGGACAAAGTCAACAAGACAAAAAGGCAGCACACAGAATGGGAAAATAGTTTGACTTACCCATATCTAACAGAGTACTGATCTCCAAACTTTACAAAGAAATCAAGAAGCAAGTCTGCAAAACACCAAATGATCCAATTAAAAAGTGGGATAAAGGAATAAATTGCAATTCCACTTGTAGGTATATACCCAAAAGATGCACATTCATACAACAAGGATGCCTCTTACACTACATTCGTAGCAGCATTATTTGTAATAACCAGAACCTGGAAGCAACCAAGATGCCCCACAACTAAAGAGTGGATAAAGAAAATGTGGTACATTTAAGCAATGGAGTACTATTAAGCAGGAAAAAACAATGGAATCTTGAAATTTGCAGACAATTCAATGGCACTAGAAAGAACTATCCTGAGTGAGGTAACCCAGTCACAAAAAGAGAAACATTGTATGTACTCACTCATATATGGAATTTAGACATGGATCCAGGGAGTACCATTATACAATCCTACTGGCAGAGATTCTGGGAAACAGAACCTTCAACCAATGACTGATGGAATCCGAGGGAGACAAAAACAAACACTGAACTGAAGGAACCCAGAGACAGAGAGGGAGGACTGATGAGTATAGGGGTAAAAACTGGGCTTGTTTAACTCACAGAATCAGATGAACTGAAAAGGGGGGAGCTCTTGAACCCCAGACTGATGCCTGGGAATCCAGCATGGAACTGATCAAAACCCCCTAAATGTGAGTGTCAGTGAAGAGGCCTAGGAAATCTATGGGGCTTTGGGTAGTTGATCAGTATTTATCTGTGGCATGCAAATACACTTTGGGTGCCCATCCTACAAAGAGAAATGAACTGTCATCCTAGATTCTTGAGGAAGGTTCTAGGACCAGCCCTGGATGCAAAGACAGAATATGAACACCCCCCCATGGAGTGCTTCACCCTCCCAGGGGAAAGTGGTTTGGATTAGGAGGTTGGAGAGGTTAGTGTGAGGGCCTGTGACAAGGGGAGGGAAATGGAGAGAGACCTGTGATTGACATGTGAAGCAAACTTGTTTCTAATTTAAATTTAAAAATAATAAAATAAAAGGAGTTGCTAAATGAGTGAGTACCAGTAATCTGGGACCATCTCCCTGATTGCTTATTCATTTGGTTATCTTCCCTACACTTGTGTGTATGAGTAACACTAAAGCAGCTTGGCTGTGTGTACTTATAGGTTGTGTGCGGGGGTGGGAGGGTGTAGGTGTGTGTGTGAGTGTGTGTGTGTGTGTGTGTGTGTGTGTGTGTGTGAGAGAGAGAGAGAGAGACTGCTAAGGAATCGATCATAAAATTGAGTAGGAAAGGGCAAGAGAGTATTTGGAGGAGGGAGAATATGGGACGAAAAAGATACAAGTGCCTAATTCATAAAATCCTCACATGGTTCTTTAAAAAAACTGGATAGGCCAGCAGGATGCCTCAGTATGTAAAGTCACATACTAAGCATGGTGAGTTGAGATTGATCTCTAGGACATGTATGGAGGAGAACACATCACAGACACAGAATTTAATTTGATTCTTTCCCTTTCTCTTTCTCTCTCTCTTTCCTTCTTTCTCTCTTTCTTTCTCTCTCTCTTTCTTTCTTTCTTTTTTCTTTCTTTCTCCTTTCCATCGTTCCCTCCTGTCTGGATTTTTTCACTTTTTCAGGGTTTTGAGATGTAACTTTAGTTCTCCTGGAACTCCCTTTGTAGATGAGGCTAACCATCAACACAGAGATTTGCCTGCCACTGCCTCTCCAGTGGTGAGATTAAAGGTGTGTACCAACTTTCTCAGCTTCATTTGATTTCTAATTGAATCGTTTCTCCGGATTTTTCCCTCAAGTAACCTTGATATAACAATTGCTCCTTCCTTCTGTATCTTCGTTCCATTCATTGTTAGAGGCCCTGTTTTTTTCCCCACTGGGGTAGAAGCTAATCATAGGCAATGGTGACATAAAAATCCTGATACTGCATCCCTCTCTCATTGGCTGCCGATGTGGCAGTCCTGCACATGTGCCCAGGAGATATCATAGAGACCAGTCTTTGCACAGTGGTTCCCTGCTTTTGGGAAAGGAAATTTAAAAAAATATAACACAAATTAATAAAAATCCCAGAGAAAGATATTGGGGTTCAACCTGCAAACTGAATATCAGAGAAGCATAGTAGCCAAGTAACTAGTTCTTTTTCTATCTCAGGCTGAAGGGTGATCTGTCTCCATGATCTCTCCTCCACACCTAACACTGCTTTCTCACATCAAACTGGCTTAAGAATAGATCCACACCTGAGACTATTTGCTTTTGGTGTTTACTTAGTGCTGTGATTGAAGAAGCGGGATCCCTAGTGCTGAGATCACCTTCCTATGAGCTGTTTATCTTTCAGACTGATTCAAGCTTGTGCAGCCATGGGTGGCCTCTGACTCACAGAGATCCTTTTCACCTGATTCAATGGATTAAAGATGTGTGCCAACTCTGCCTAGCTTGTACAGCTGAGTAGTATGGCTGTCTTTGAATTTTGATCCTTCAGGTATTCTTTATTAAATTATTAATAATATATCAGCACATAAATGGTTTTTTTCAATTAATTATAGGTGTAGGCGCATTTGCCATCATGCCCATATGGAGTTCATAGGAAACCTTCAGGAGTCTGTTCTCCTGGGTTCCAGCCATCAAACTTAAGTCTTCATAGGAGCAAGTACCTTAATTATGGAGCCTTGTTAGGACTGCTGGTTAAGTAATTTGTTCTAAAAGACCATTTCAGAAAAAAGAAAAAAAGACCATTTGCGGCACTTGGTTTCTACTGTTTACTTCAAGAAAAGCACCACGGTTTTCTGTTTAGAATTTGATGTTGTTGTTTGATAGTTTCTCACTGTGTGGATCAGGTTGTGCCTGAAACTCACAGAAAACCTCCCACCTCAGCTTATTGAATGATAATACAAAGAGTATGCACCCCATGCAAGATGACACTGGGGTATTAATAAATATTAGTTTTTGGTTGATTTCTATCCCATCATGCTTTTCTGTTGATTTACACTTTGAGATAAAGTGTCCATCTTACTCTTGATGATTCTGAATTCCTTCATCAAGTCATTATTTCAAATAAGCTTCTGGCTATGGAGGACTCCAGGTTCCTGACAGCCATCTCAGCTCTTTCACACCTGCAACTTATTCATGGGGTGTATTTTTGTTTTGTGTTTGGTTTTTATTTTCTTGATTTGAGACAAAAGCTAATTTGGTAGCCTTTGGCTACTCTGAAATTCCCTATTCACTCAAATAACCAAACACAACAAAACACACACAGAGCCACTGAAATCACACACACAGACACACACACAGACACACAAACACAGACACACACACACACACACACACACACACACACACACACATACATATAAACATGTGCTGGCAATAGGAGCTCTAAACCAGTGACCATATCAGGTAACTCACTTCCCTCCATTGGATGTCTTAGTACATACTGGTATAGCCTTTTCACCAACTAAGCTACATTTCCAGATGATGGCTTCAATATTCAAAGGATACATTTTAATATGTTTACATCTGGTGTAGTTTTGTTTTAATGAGAATTGAGCATTCATAGTAATTTGCATATTAGTTTCTTTGGTTCATTTGAGCTTTTGGAGACAGGGTTAAAATGGGCAAGGCTAATCTTGAACTATATAGCCATTGACCTTGTCCAGGTTTCTAGACTCAACACGCAATTGCAGTTAGTTTCCTCTTATAATTTAATACCCATTTACAGTGTAAAACAAATTTTAAAATATTTGTAAGTTTTCTTTGCTCATCCCCTTTCTTCCCCTAGACCCAATACATCACAGTAAGATCTTTGTCCTTGTAGCTTGCCTCTGCCTCCCAAGTGCTGGTGTTAAAGGTATGCACCATCACCACCAAGCATTGATTCTGTTTTCTTACATCAATTTATTATTCATCATTTACTGAGTAATTTTTCAAGACAGGGTTTCTCTGTGTATCCCTTGTTGTGTGAAATCTCATTCTTTAGACCAGGCTGACCTCTAACTGAGAGATCCACTTGCCTTTGTCTCCTGAGTGCTAGGATTAGAGGTTTGTGCTATCTCTGCCTGTTTTGTTATTCATATCCTTCAAGAATTTATCCTTTTAATAATGAGGCTTAATTTATTAGCACAAGACATATTTTCACAATAATCCAGGGGAAGGCATGAGGGTATGATTCCTTGGAAGTATGATGTGCAATATGTCTCAGACTCTACAATGCATCCTCAGGCTTCCCAAAGAAACAGTATTAGTAATATAATATTTATGAAATAAACATACAAGCAGTCTGTATACAGTGAATATACACTCATAAATGAATACAACGTGTATAGAGTTGGATAAGATAGTAAAAGCAAGCACTTTGTGGTCAACCTCTCCAAACCCAAGGTCACAAGTATCTGTCTTCTCATTCTTTCAATCTCACATCCCTACTTTTCTACAAAAGCATAGAAAACTGATGAGGAAGATTCCAAGATTAGGGACCTGGAGAGATATCTCAGTGGTTAAGAACACTAGCTAATATTCCAAAGGTCCTAACTACAATATCCAGCAATCATATGTTGTTGTACAGACATGTGTAATGAGATCTGGTAGCTTCTTCTGACCTGCAGGGATACATGCAGAAATAACACTGTATACATAATAAATAAATCTTAAAAATTTGTTTAAAAAATTCAAGATTAGCTTCAAGTTTGAAAACAATCTAAAATAAAAGATTGGGCTGGTGGTGAATATCTATGGTTCCCTGAAATAGGAAGAAAGGCTATAGAATTTTAGAGAGGTAAAAACTAGGCCTAGGTAACACATATCTTTATCTTCTTAAAAAGTGAAGCTAAAATGTAGCTGTGAAACTGAGAGCTTACCTGACATGCTCTAGGCTCTGGGTTCACTCTCACCACCAACAAATGTTTGAAAATCAATCCAAATGGGAGTGGGGATGCACACCTTTAATCACAACATTCCAGCCACACAGATAAGGGGATCTCTGTGAGCTGAAGGACAGCCTCTTCAACTTATTGAGGTACAGGACTTCTAAGACTAAATATAAACAACCTAAAACATGAAGGAAAGAAAGGAAAGGGAAGAATGGAAAGGAAGGAAGGAAGGAAGGAAGGGAGGGAGGGAGGGAGGAAGGGAGGGAGGAAGAGAGATTCACTATCCACAGAGCACCACTTTGTTCCTGAAGTGATGCAGTTTGTTGATTTAACTTCAGGAGCCTCAGCTGAATATGCGAATTGAGCGCAATCTGAGTGGAGAGTGCTTCACTAACTCTACCAGAAAGGCTGTTAACAGTCTCTGCCTTGGCAGAAAATTGGGCCAAGGCAATTCTGGCTGCAGGAGCCACAGTGGCCTTATGGCAATGGCTGGGACAACAGCGGCTGTGATGCCAAAGCCTCCTTTTTGTTGCATTAGGACAAGTTGCATTTCTCCAGGAAAACATACAGGCATAGGTGTAATTCCAGAAACAGGAACCACCAGGGCTGATGTTTCAAGTGGCCGTGTCCTGTTCAAATACTGATAAGGGGCTTTTGCCACTCATCATGGTCCATACCAGTGTCCAAATGTTTCAAAAGGGTACCTTTTCCCAAAGGGAAAAACTGCCAAAATGGATTCTGTTGTTTCAAGGAATGGCAAGGGCAGACTGTTAATCTTCCAGTTCTCTGTTGGCTTCGGGATAAAAACTCACAGTTAGGAGAGGTTGAAGCAGCAGGCCTGTTGAGAAAATGGAAATCTCGAACAGATTGTTTTATTTCTTTACTAACTTTTACCAATTTTTTCAATTCACCCATTTTCAATCCCTTGTCCAACTGAGGGTGATCTCTCAGGTTCACCTTTCTTTCCTGACCTTGGTGTCAGGCGAATGCCTGGAGATTTAATCCAGTCCAACCATTTCTCTGGGGCTGTCCGGCCTGTGCATTCCTTTGGGCTGTCTGGCTGCATGTTTCTTGAAACTCAACTCTCCAAATCAAGTAATCTCCCCAGAGAGAGGGGCTCAGCAAAGCTGTTGCCAATCACTAGGTGTCAAGTTACGAAACACAAAAGATTCCATTAAGGAAAGTGTAAAGGGAGCCTGTGCTCCATAATTTAGAGTTGAATTTTTAAGTTGGTTTATGTCTTTGAAATTTAAAGGGTCATGACACCGAATAACCTGCCCGGGATTGTTTGGGTTGGGAGCTTCCATTACTAAGGCCACCACTGAGCAGCAATGGAGCCCTCCTCTGGGTCTTCCCTCAAGGTCCAAGAAGGGCTGGGTCATGTCATAGTAGGAGATCCCTTTTTCAGAGTATGGAGGAGGGTTTCTCTCCCTTTCCTGTCTTTTCTTAATTCAACTCTAAAGAGGATATTCAATGCTATAAGGAAAATAATATATTTATTTACTAGGGAGGGAGTCGCACTAGCTAGGAGTTAGAAGCCTGGCTGGCTTCCAAGAGAAAAGGGAGGTTCCTTTTCCTTTCACTTCCTTTTATATCTACCTGTGTCAGTTTACATGTCCCCACCCTCATGGGCAGATAGCTTTGTGGGGTTCACTCCTACACAACTCTTTTTTAGTGCTTTTTTAAGGGCCATGACCTCAGCAAGTAAGCATTCCTTCTCAGACTCTGATGAGTTAGAGTCCAAGCTTCTTCCATTTTCTAGGTTTGAAAGAGAAGGATATAACTGATTTTGACTGGAATTCTTTTTGGGTTGTGCCCTGAAATCTCTACCCATTTTTTGTTGTTGTTGTGAAGAGTCTCCTCCTTATCCTCACTAACAATGGTGCCTCTAGTGTTAAGGCAGAGTCTCTTCAGATGATTCATCCTCACTCCCTGCCTCTGAACACAGGGAGGCTCGAGTCTCAGTCTCTTGTAACTCTGAAAATGCTTCTTTTGTGGCCTGGACTACCTGGCGTTGGCAAATCTTATCTGTCAAAAGTGCACCCCTCACTAATCCCCATAAGGAAAATGTGGATGGGGCAAGGACTCAGGTCCCTCTTTTTGTAAAAGTTGAATAAGATCACAGCGAACCTCATCCCAATTGGGATATTTAAGCCTCCCCCAGTAATGAACTATGGTTTTGCTATTTCAATCGATTTTAGTAATCCTACTAGGCTTTTTTTCCTCAATCAGTCTCTGGCTGGCAAAGGGACAACCCCATCAACTTACCTTGCTTTCACGATGTTGGCGGGACCTCCAATTGCTGTGCCCACTGTGCAATCTGTGCAGAGTGTGTTGGGTTGATGACACAGAGACTGGTTGGTGATGCAAAGAAAACTTCAAGAAGGCTTTTCAGAAGGCTGCTCAAAAAGGATTTACTTCATTTTACCCTGGCTGATTATTATATACCCTGACACCAGAGGCGGAGGTGGGTGGGTCAGGAAGAGGCAGTTAGTCTTTGGAAAAGGTCAAGTTCAGAGTGATCCTGTGGATGAGACATCATCAGGAAATTATTGCTCCAGGCACCATATTGTTTTTAGAAAACATTGTATTACAGCTGCCTGCTCCCAGGCTGATGGGGAAGTGGGCCTCTGGCCAAGGTCTGTTGTTCCCACACAACTTGGGCCCTAGGAAATAAATTTATTGTACCCAGCTTGCAGCCAGTACCCTTTAGCTTGTCCTTTTTTGTGGCAAGCTCTGCCACCAAAATTGTTGATAGACAAACCAATGAGAGGTGAAATGGTTCAAAAATTCTCCATTGTTCTCTGCTTCTCCTGGAGAGAAAGGCACAAGGACTAGGTATAGGGACTCATTAGTACATTAGAAAGAGTTCACATTTGAAAGCTTATATTATAGTTCTTAGGGGTCCAATCCCTTAGAAAAAGACAGGAACTTTTGTCCCTCTCTTGGAGGCCCTTATGTGCAGGTTGCCAGCCAGAAGTTGGGAGTCCTGAAGAATAGGACACATAGACTTGGTGGTGTAAATCACAAATCTCAACACCGAGGAAATGGGGGAAAGAAGATCTGGAGTTCAAGACCAATCTTGTCTGTGTGTTTTCAAAGACAGGCAGGGAGCGATGGTGAGAAATTGATGAGCAGTGCGCTCTAGATCCCACTCTTTTTCCTCTATGTTGTCATAAGATTGCATTTGCCATCTTTGATGTGCCCACAGCACTACCTCCTCCTAGGCGTTTCCTGAATGGTAACCATTGGGCACTCTGGAAACCCTCCTAAGGTAACAAGTCTGAATTGTTCAGCAGAGGTTGACAACTTTGGGCAACCAGTAGCTACACAATCATATGTAACAGAAGCACAGCAGGAAGACAAAAGGAAGGCAATCTCAGAATGGTTTCTGTTCACTTTGATATGAAGAGATTTTAGGCAAGAACCCAGACTTTACAGGATCTTTGCATGCCTGCAGTCACAGGACTGTCCTAACCAGAAACATGGAAACATGTAAAGAGAAGCTTTTCCTTGCTATCCGCTTTGGTTTATCACCCGCCAGTCGCCTGGGCTCTGCGGCATTGTAGTCCCCAAATAAACACACAGGAGGCTATATTGGTTATGAAGCTGTTGGCCTTGCTTGTCTCTTACTGGCTAGCTCTGCTTTAAGTAATTACCCCATAATTGTTGATCTAAGTATGTCTCTTACCGGAGAATAGTTCCGGGCTCCTACCCCATGGCGGTTACATGTTGACTCTCCTGTGTTTCTCCTTCCCAGAGTCCTCCTGGACTCCTAGTCCCTCCTATCTAGATTCCCTATTGGCCAGACAGTGCTTTATTGGCATAAGACTTCCCCAACATCTCCTCTTTTCTGTTTAAACAAAAAGAAAGATCTTAACTTTAACACAGTCAAATTGTATATAACAGAACAGTTATCAAGTAAGAACACAGTTAGAACATTTTGTCTATTAACATTTAGCAAGATTTAAAGAAAATATCATTCATCCCATCCTTGTGAGTCCAAAGTTCTATATGTAGCTCATCTTTTATCATAACTAAGGAAAACTATAATTATAACTATCTGTCTTCAACTCCATCAAAGACCACAGAAGGATAATATATAAACACTAGGATTGACAGAGACATCTTACTGCCTGGACAGTGACCTGAAGTTCCTCTGTAACATTGGGGCATCCATCTTCAGCCCATAGGCCACAATGTGTCCAGAAGATTTCTCAGCAAAGCAGGAAATTTCAAAACTGTCCATCTGCATTGGCAGTCAGTCAGTCATTTTTCTTTGTCCTGCAGAAAGTCTCCTAGTCTCTTTCATGAAGCAGGAACCCTGAAGGAGTATTTGAATTCAGCAGTAACTTTCCTGTGGATCCTGCACATCCAGATTATACAGCAACACTCAAGCAGTCCAGGCAAAAGCAGTTTCTTGCCCAAATAGCTAACCTTGCCATGTTGAAAGCAAGCTCCATAACGAGTTTCTTCGATGCCCATCTCAGACATAATTGATGCTGCCAGGAGCAGACATTTCTCATTGTCAAGAAAAACCCTAAACCATTTTAAATGCCATTTTCTGAAGGTCTTTGAGAGGTTTGAAGACTGTTTATCTATCTCAAATATATTTCTGTATATCTAGAAAACTTAACTTACCTAACTATAAATTCTGACTATTATAAGTAACTATCTATAGTCTGTATTCAATTATGCATTACATTTTAAAATATCAAGAGGAGAAATATACACATCACAAAACTGACCTTGAATTTGTATCAATAAATGAAAAACAATACCCATACCATAATTCCCCTTTTTACCATTAAAAAGAGATTGATTGTGATCAATAACCAATTATAAACAATCCCATTTAAATGAAAACAAAGATTTATAAACAAGATGGGAATTGGGACATCGCTCATTCCAAACTGCTTCCTGCTGGAAGGGGGTGCTGTTTATACCATTGGGATCATGACAAAACTCAGAAACCTGTATAAGTCCTTATTTTTGTGGTCTGTAAAGCTGTATCATCTTAGCTGTTTCAGTTATTGCAACACCTGGTCCACTGCTTTGGGGGGGGGCTTGGTTCGTCAAACCACAGAAGCCTGGAAGGAATCCTCAGCTTTTCATTTTCTGTGGAAACATAAACTAAAACTCCTTTTCCGAGTAACATATCCTTATACTTAAATTTTGAAGTCAAGGCATTTTTAAAAGATATAAGTTGAATTAATTCAGCAGCATTTATAATCAAGTGTACTTTAGTTGTTCCTTCCTTAGCAATCAAAAAACTGAAAAACATAATAGCATACAGTATCCAGACTCTCTGTGTATTTTCCATCTTTACATGGCTTATTTATTTATCTATTATTTATTATTACTCTATTTTTTCACTTTTATTTATTTTTCTCCGAGACAGGGTTTCTCTTTGGAAATCTGCCTGCCTCTGCCTCTGGAGCAATTCCTACCGGCGTGTGACACCACAGCAGGCTTCTTTTTCTCTCAATCTTATGTATATTTTTAAACACACTGTAAACCTTTAGAGATTTTGTTCATCCAAGTCTGACTTTACTGTAAAGCTTTACGTTTTTCTGGCCACGTGTCTTATCTGTAAACCCGCGGCAGTTTAAACTGCCTCTTTTTTTTTTTTAGATGGCAGGCATAAGCGTGATTCCAGCTTACTGCCTCAGTCCATGCTGACATTCAGCAAAAGCTGCCACTTCCAGCTGTACGTACACACCTTTCAATCTTAAGGTCAAAACAACCTTGCTGGCTTTTTTTTTCTTTTTATGCTGAGTCAGGAAGACTCCGGTAAGTGAGCCACGTGAATCTCGGCTTGTCCATAGCAAAACAGAGCCCACCTGAGAAAATGCTGCTACCAAAAATCTGTGCTTCTCTCCGTTCTTCTGTTTCTAAAATTCTTTTAAATCTTGTTATTTTGCGTGGAAATTCAATCCCACTCCTGACAACCATTCTGTTAAGAGAAGCTTTTTCTTTGAAAGGAGCCGTTCCGCCAGACTGGTTCTAGAGCCGCATCAGTCCCAAATAAACACACAGGAGGCCATATTAGTTATGAAGCTGTTGGCCTTGCTTATTCCTTACTGGCTAGCTCTGACTTAAGTAATTACCCCATAATTGTTAATCTAAGTATTTCTCTTACCAGAGAATAGTTCCAGGCTTCCAACCCCGTGGCGGTTACATGTTGACTCTCCTGTGTTTCTCCTTCCCAGAGTCCTCCTGGACTCCTAGTCCCTCCTATCTAGATTCCCTATTGGACAGATAGTGCTTTATTGGCATAAGACTTCCCCAATAGAAACAGGCTAATGACTAAGGAGGACAGTAGAGGGATTGCATCCAGGACCCAGATTCTAAACAAAGGACAGCTTACCATACTTGTTGAGTCCTTATGACAGTGTGTTCAACTGTCCCATGTACTCCATGCTATCAGTGTCAACCCAGACCCCTATAGTCTGAGCCAACTACACAGCATTTATTTCCAATACCTTGAGCAATGTGTGAAGCTGTGTTCTCTTGGTTCCTGCTGATGACAGACCTGTCCCTGGGTTTTTATTTCTCATTATGCAAAAATACCTCCCTTTATTTGCAGCCAACAAGGACAAAATTGCTTTGTGGAGGGCTGAGGAAGGAACCCAGGGTCCAATAAAGCATCGCAAGTACACTACCTATAGAAATACACTGCCCAGCGCTGCATCCATGCTTCTGAACTCAAACCATCATCTTGCCTACCTTTCTACTTTCTCCTTCCTCC